AAGCAGGAGTACGGCAAGCAGGGTATCCAGGTCGTTCAAATGTATATCCAGCAGGCGCTGCCCCATTCTCCACCTCCTCCTCTCCTTCCCTTCCCTCTCCTCCTCCTCATGTCCTTTTCCACCTTCTCTTCTCCCTCTCTCTCTCTCTCTCTCTCTCTCTCTCTCTCTCTCTCTCTCTCTCTCTCTCTCTCAGGAGTACGGCAAGCAGGGTATCCAGGTCGTTCAAATGTATATCCAGCAGGCGCTGCCCCATTCTCCACCTCCTCCTCTCCTTCCCTTCCCTCTCCTCCTCCTCATGTCCTTTTCCACCTTCTCTTCTCCCTCTCTCTCTCTCTCTCTCTCTCTCTCTCTCTCTCTCTCTCTCTCTCTCTCTCTCTCTTTCTCTCTCCCTCTCTCTCCCTCCCTCCTCCACCTCCACTTCCCCCTGGTCCTCCTCCTCCCCACCTCCCTGCTCCTCCCCGCCCATCCGTCCTCCTCTCGCTTGCTGCCTGCAGGCTGCCGTCGTGAATCAGATCTCGAAGGCGCTCTTCAACAAGGCGGGCATGCCGCGTGAGTTCGAGAAGCCGTTGCGCGCCCACATCCCCGCGCCTGAGGCGACGTGCGGGGAGGTGGGCAAGTGGATGCTCTACCAGGCCGTGGAGCATCACACCGTCGGGATGCCCACGGCGTATGGATTGACAGAGCAGAGGCTGCTCTTAGAGGGGAAGGTATTGGTGATCGGGTTAACATTCGACGTCTTGGCACGCCCCCTGAAGGAGGCTATGGAGGAGCTGGAGACTTCTTCTGGCATTGACCTCGTGAAGGCAGCCAGCGAGGCCCCCAACTTCATGGTGATCATTCCTCCGTGGCACATCGTTACACTGCCCGCGGGCTACATCTACCTGACGTTCCGCATGGAGGAGACCATGGGCATCAAGTGGAACACGTTCAACATGGTCGGCGAGTCCTGCGGTGTAGGTCAGGGGGCATGTCTGGCGCACCGTTGGTGCAGCGCTCTGCTCGAGGCGTACCCTGCTCTTGTCAAGGGCTCGCCGCAGTACGTGCAGATCCTGAAGGCCTGCCAGGCGAAGTTTGGCACGTCGACGCCGCAGAGCAATGTCCCGATGGCCATCCTCGGCGGTGGCGATGGCGGTGGTGTGGTGGCTGAGCCTGCTCCTACCCTGGAAGAGCCGAAGCTCCCGTCCCAGGAGTTTGACCCGACCCATGCCCTTATGGCTTCCGCGGAAGCGGGGGCTGCCGCTCCTCTTCCCGCGGGCGCGCAGGCTGTCCGTACGGCTCATGCGGCTGCTGAGGCAGGTGCCAGTGACGTAGGTGCAGCAGCGGGGCGCAAGGATTTTCTGACTGCCTTGTCAGGTGGTCCCAAGGCCCTTCCTGTTTCCAAGAGAGGAACGGGCGGCATTTCAGCAGCGGACAAGGCCGCAGCAAAAGCAGCCAAGGCGGAGGCCAAGGCCAAAGGCAGCCAAGGCGGAGGCCCAGGCCGCAGCTGCAGCTTCAGTAAAGGCACAGCTGGTGGGAAAGCCCCCCGATGCTCCTGTATCTGCTGAGCAGGCCCATGCCTGAAACCGTTGCAATCCTAGTGCTGCCAGTCGCCCCGTGTTACAGAGCTGGGCGCTGAGCAGCGCAGGCCGCTGCGCGTTGTGCAATCCAAGGCTTTCGCCTCTTGCCGCCAGTTGGACGTTGGTTATCATCAGATCATCGGACGTCTTTTGATTTTCGGGTACCTGTCCAGTTGAGTTAAGACGTGCGGTCTCTCTTGCCACCAGCCAGCGATCCTGACACCAGTCTTGTTTTCAGTGTAGTGATGTCTAGCTGACTCCATGGCCATGCTAGTGCTGCGAGTTTCCGCGTGTACAGGCGGGGCGCTGCTCAGCAGAGGCCACTGCGCGGCGTGGACATCCAGGCTTTCGCCATTTGCCGCCAGCGTGATTGAACTTGGCTGCACGTTTGAGTTTTACATTCGTTTCCGCGCTCGCTGAGCTTGATATGTACACTTGTTCTCACCGCCAGCAGTTTCCCGAAGGCAAGGGTGAGGCGTTCGATCCTGCTCCTGTGTCCCTCCTGGGATGGCGGATCGGTCGCATTGGGGCGCGAGCTAGGTAGCTCTTCTTGCATGGTACGCCACCTCTCTCCCCCGCTAATCACGAAGCGACCCTCCACCCCGAACATCTCTCGATTCCTACATCCCCAGAATTCAACGTAGCTACCTACGAGCTTGCGGAGGCACCAGCGCCCGCGGATTCCAACCTGCTAGACTCGATGTGGTGAATCATTGCTTTCTCTCCGTTTATCCCCACTGGCCCACCCGTGTACTGTCTTCCCGTCCTCGTCGCCTCTGCGAGAGGTACAGTCAATCGTCCCTCTGATCCCTCTCCCCTCCGCCTCTCATTTCACCCACTCTTTCTCAGCATCCCTCGTCCTCCGCACCCCGTCGACCTCTGAGCGTCGTCGCCAGCGTCATCGTTGTCGTCGTCGCGTCGTCCACCTTCTCTTTGGTTCGCCCATTGCGCACATTGAATCATTTGTGCCGCAGGACTCGGTGCGCGGGCTCCAGTTCCGCACCGACGACAAAACCTTGTGCATCACGACCCACTCGAAGTACCTCTGGGCATGCAGTCTCGGCCAGGGGACGGTTCCTGAGAACTTGGAGGTGAATAGGTACGTGACGCCAGCGGAAATGTTTAAGTTCCAGGGGTTTGCAGGCCTCCCAGAAGGCTTGGCAGGCCCCCCCCCCCCCCCCTCCAGGTGAAAGCTGTCGGAAACACGATGTGTTTGCCATGCGTAGGGGCCGCCATGCTCATGGCCATGCGCCACTCCCCGTATTTTTTCAGTGACTAACTCGTGTTTTGCAGCTCGGCCTTAGCAGCACGGGGCGCACCGAAAGCTTCGCTGTCTCCCCGCCGCCCACGCAACCACAAAGCACCAGCACGCACGCACGCGGGTTTTCTACATGATAGATATGGTGCTTCGCTGGTCGCTGCAAATCAAGGGTCGACGTATCAGTCGGAAGTGTTCAGACACCTGGGTTGCCCACTGGCGGCAAGAGGTTTAGGTCCTCGCGGGTGCCGTCGTGGGGCATGCAGTGCCATTTGTTCAGCCGTTGGCGTGCATGTAGGGCGGATCGCTCAGCCTCGTTGCTGCTCCTTAGCCTATGCGTAGGCGTGTCGTCGACGACGACGAAGTGACCACTAATTTATTCATGAGGATGTGTAGTCTCGCGGAGTTGTGGAAGCAACAAGCCGTGGGCACAGCCGAAACGTCATTGCTGCGAATGTTGCTGTCGATCGGGCCGCGTCGAATCGTTGCTGTCGTGGTGGGCACTCCCAGCTGAGTAACGCCGAAACGTCGTTGGTGCGAGGGGCACAGTCAGAGGCTCAGGATGAGACTTGCGGTTGCTACGGACAGCCCATGAAGGCCAGGGGCTGTATGGTGAGGGGAAGGAGCAGGATGAGGAGGAGGAGGAGGTGGAGGAGAGAGGATAGAATCTGACGATGCCGACAAAGATGAAGAGGTGGATGCCACAAACACCACGATAAACATGTTTGATTTCCCCCGCCCCGCTACCACAGTGCCAACATGATGCACCATGCGTTCAAAATCTCCACCACCATCGCACATAATATCTATGGCATCTTCGCCTGGCGTACCATTTCTGCCTCATGCGTGCGATTTGCGTGAGGGTGTAGCCTATTTGGGGCGCCGTCTGCGGTGTCACGAGCGCCTTTTGCATTTTAGCTGCCAAGGCCACGTCAGGGCCTAGTTTTGGAAAGCCTTGCACAGTCGGGGCGCCTGGCACCCCCAAGAAGCATGGATTTAGTACCATGAGGAGGGACTAGGAGTAGAGGAGGTGGGGCGGGAGGGGGAAGGAGAGGGCTAGCGTGCGGTATGCAGCACTGCCGCGAGTGCTCGAAAGCTCGCCTGGACACTTGGAATCCCCTGAGGGGGCGGGGGATCCATGCATTTCTTGTCTAGGGAGCGTGACAATGAGCAGTGGGAGGAGGGGGAGTAGAATGAGGAAAAGGACATGATGAGGAGGAGGACAATGAGGAACAGAGAAGGTGGAGGACATGGAGGCGGATGTGGAGGCATATTACGTGGTGGATATGGAAGAAGAGGAGGTGCAGGCCGAGGTGGGGGCGGAGGAGGAAGATGAGGAGGACAAGGAGCGGCAACCGGCGGTGCGTTGGGGGAGGTGCGTTGGCGGAGGTGCATTGGCGGAGGTGGTTGGGATCGTCGAAAGTGTGCGGGTGCAGGTTGGCATTCTAACCTCATTAAGGCCTCAGGACGGCTTCAGGACTATCCCGTGAAGGATCCCAGACGGCCTCGCGAAGCAAGATACAGTCATATACTTCACATGGTCCCGTCGGCCCCCCGCACCCGGGCAGCTTGACCAAGCCAAGCCCAAGGCGTGGTTGCAACATAAACCTTAGCGTTCGGGGCAGAGTGGCCCTGGAACCCCCTGGGTGCTCCTCTAGAAGCAGCCCCCCGCAGCAACCCACGATCTGGCTGAGATCGCGCTACCCCCAAACGCCGACCGCAGCGTCCCCCAATGCGGATGAGATCGGCGGGTTCTTCTTGGGCTGGCGCCCGCTTGATGTGGTCCGGCCTGGGCGAGAGAGAGAGAGAGAGAGAAACAAGACATAAGAGAGAGAGAGAGAGTTGGACACGCGCGTGGCCACATCTCGTTCCAGCCCTTTCCCTTCGCATGGCGTTGTGAGCCGATCCTCCGCCTGCGTAGCCAGCGCGTTGTGGCCGCGCGTTCCGCGGGTGAGTCCAGCCGCGCGCGTTTCTTCCGGCGGCGCGCACGAAGGGGTGGCGCGAGTGTGGGGGGTTCTAGGAAGGCGCGGGGTTTCTTACCAGGCAGGGGCGTCCCGCTCAATTTTTTGTTACGAAGGCCCCTCATTTTAAGAAGCGGGCCCCCTTTTCTTGGAAGGCCTCTCCTCTCGCGCGACCCCTGGCTCCGACCTGCAAACGCTTCATAACGGCGGCGCAATGCTTCCGGCTTGGCTCAAAGCGTTTTCTATATATAGGTTGTGCGGGGAGGGGGATTGGGGGCCGCGCATGAGAGGGTGACCCTTGACGGCCCGCGGCTCGGGAACCCCTGCCGCTGCTGCCTGGCGTGGCATCGAGGACGGAGGCTGCCCGAGGCAGCACGCGCCGTGAAGAGTCGCCAGCCACAGCAGGGGGTGGGAACTGTGGTTGTCGAGCGCCCCCCCGGCTCTGGGAGGGCCGCGTCAGCTTCGACGCCCCTCTTGAGACATTGTCGACGCGGTGGGAGTTCCCAAGAGTGTGAGGCCTGTCGGGTATCAGTCGGGGGCTCGTGGAGAGGAAGGGGGGAATCCCAAGGTGGGGTCAGGGAGCGAAGCTAGCTGCGCGTCCACATTTGAGTTAACTCTTCCTCCAACCCTACAGCCCCACCTGAGCCTCAGCCCCCCCTTTTACGCCCCCCCCGAATTAGGGGCGCGCACAAGAGGGCAGGGCGACAGTCGTCCAAGCCGTCGTAGACGACGTCGCCGTCTTGAAGGGTGCCGGGCGCCCTTCGCCACTGCAGCTGGACGCGGCTTGAACAACGGGCCAGGATGGACCCTGGGAAGGATCGGGGGCATGGCGAGGAGGACGACCTTCTTAGAAACCTCCGAACCCCCTTGACAGGCCCCCAGGCCTCGTGGAAGGCTGTCGGGCCGAACGAAAGGGGGGATAGGGAAAAGGGGGGGTTACAAAATCTGCTGCGTGCAGCTGGTTTCGGCCCCGCCGCCAGGCCCATTCCTCGATACATGGGCGCCTCCCGGCGCCGGGAGGCGCTGGGAAAATCAGCTACGTGAGCTGATTCTCTACCCTACCCTTTGCTATCCCCCCCTTTCGTTCCCCCCGAGGCTGGCCCCTCTGTCCCTCCTCCCGCCCACCCACACTGTTGTTCGCCACGCCGCAGGGGTGGGTGCCTCTTATAACCAGTGCGCTCGATCCTGTCTGCCCTGGTGGGCTTGAGCGCGTCGTCGTGCGCCGGGCGATGTTGGCCAGGGCGGTTCGTTGAGCTCGCCGACATTGGCCACAGTGTAGTCGCTGCCCATAAGGATCGCTGTGCAGAAGATTGGTCAAGCAGGCGTTTCACTGATTTCGGACTTCTGCGACCGTCCCCGGGTTCTGGGCCGTCTAACAGCGACTGGTCCTAGGGAAAGCCCCGAGTGGGTCCAAGACGCACTTCACTAGGAGCTCCTGCATTTATACAACAATTCTCCGCGCTTCGCGTCTCCCCACCAGCCTAGTCAGAAACGTTGCCGATGAGAGCTGACGACAAACGGGTGGAAGAGGTACTGAAGCGATGCCCAGGACGGTTGCCTCCTTCAGGAAGTGTAGAAGCGTGCAGTGGAATATCTGCCCACAGAGGTACGACGATGCGCAGGAGGAGGAAGACGAGGACGAGGAGGAGGAGTCTGCCAGCCCTCTTCGGGCTCGTTTGGGGGCTCCTGGGGCCCTCTTGGGGAGGTCTTGGGAGACATGGGGTGCCACTCGGGGCCTTCTGGAGACCATCGGTCAAAGGGAGGGGGGTCGAACCCTCCAAATCGCCTCTTGAGACGCTTTTGGGGCGACCTTGGGCGTTTTTTTGTTCCTCCGCTTCCAAAGTCCATCTTCCATTCTGGGAAGGGGTACCCTCCCCCTCTTCTCCGTGGGTTTCTGAAGTGTTCCTCGAGGTGCCAGAAGGCTTTCTGTTCGCCCAAGATGGATTTAAGAGGGCCTCCGATGCTGCAAGGTGGCATCCAATATGGTTCAACATAGCCGACGATGGCTGAAGATGGCTTCCACCGCCCTACAAAGTGCATCAAAAACCGCTCCAAGATGGCAACAACTGCTTTCGGAGCCCCCTCAGGACCTCCCCAAGAAGCCAAGGTTGATGATCAACCAAAGGAAAGTTAATGAGTTTCGCCGTCCCGCCTTTTCGCTTCCGCAAGATGGCCCCAAGATGGCCCATGGAACCGCAAGAGGGGCCCAAGAGCTCCCCTAGACGGCGCCACGAGCGCCCAAGACCGCCCCAAGAGCGCCGCAAGATGCGATTCAGAGGTCCCCAGTGGGGAAGGGACCGCCTCGTGGACCAAGGCGCCTCGTGCACCGAGACGCCGGGCAGGGCGGCCCCTTTGGGCCGCTGCTGTGTGCCTTGACCACTGCGCGGGTCGTGGCCCGAACCAGAGCCCGGGGCAATCTGCGGTTCTCCGACGTGTGGTTCATGGACGATGGCCAGATTGTTTCCCGCAGCTCTTGCGTGGATCCGTTGCCGGAGCGGCGCGTGGCCGGTGAGAGCATGCCAAGTCGGTCGTGGCAGTCATCGCGCCGCCACTGCAGGTGTCGCCGCCGCAGAGCGCCCTTGCTGGGCCACGAACTACGTACTGAAGTGTGTGGCCCCCTCGGCTGGAGAGCTGGCCTGCCACGTGCTCGGCGTTGATTTCGGCAGCGGCACGTCCAGCGCCCAGCTCCTCGCGGCAGCGGACAAAGCGGCAGCCGTGCACGAAGCTCTGGGCCTGCTGGAGGATACGTCCACCGAGCTCGTGCTGATGCGGTGTTGTGCAGACATCTGCAAGGTGTTCCACCTACTCCGGGCAGCCGGTCCGACCCTCAGCGAGGAGGCGCTGGCCCGCTACGACGGCACGTTCCGCTGCGCAGCGACGCGCCTGCTCGACGGGCCGCTCGACGAGGCGTCGTTGGCCCAGGGTTTTGCGGGCGTCCACGAGGGAGGACTCGGCCTTCGCAGGGCCACGTGGCGCCTTGTCAGCCAACTTCGCTTCCCACAAAGGGTCGCGGGCTCACGTGGCCAGCCTGCGCGAGGCCTCCGCCGCGGCGGGATTCGACGGGATCCCTTTGCTTGAGCGCTTCGACACGCAGACCGTCTCCTCTCTGCAGGCCTTCTAGGCCAGGCTGCCCCTGGCTGCCGCGGAGGAGGCCCATGCCGCGGTCGCCCACTGGGCCACGAGCGGCGTGCAACAGAGGGGCCGCGCGGAGGTCGCGTTGCTGGCTGGGGACGGCCTCATCCTGCCAGCTGGCGCCGAGGACCCCAGCTTGCCCCGGACGGCCGTCTGCAACCTCGCTTGTGCGCCGCGGCCGACAGCGTCGCGAACTACAGCCTTTCTGCCGACTTCGCCGCGGATTGCTGGGACGTGGATTGCCGCCGACTGCGGGAGCTCCCAAACTCTTCCGTGAGCCACGGTTGGCTCTGGGTTCTCGATCCGGCGCACGGCCTGACCGTCGGCCATGGGGAGTATCTCACCGCGGTGCGCGTGCGGGTTGGCGCCCCCGCCATCGACGTCGAGATGCCGTGTCCGCGGTGCGGCACAGGGGCGTTCGACCGGGCGTGTTATCACGTTCTCCGGTGCGCCACCCGGGGTCATTACTAGGTGTGCGACCACGTCCTGACGTTGTCTCACCTAGCCGACCCCAGCGCCGAAGCCGAAGATCCAGCGCTGATGCTGCAGCGCCTTTGCTCCAGCCTGCAGATGTCCTGACCAGCGCGGCCCTCGTGGGTCGTCTGGCGGCCGTTGGTGCTGGCGCGTTCAGCCTGGCGGCATAGGGCGTTGGCGAGGCCTGCTGCAAAGCGATGCGCGCCCAGAAGCTCCGACTACCGCGGCCACCTCGCGGAGCTGGCGGCGGCGGGCATCGCGTACATGCCCATGGCGTGGTCCGCCTACGGTCGCGCCCTCCTGGAGGCGCAGGCGACGCTGCGCTGCGGGCTCCCCGGCGCCGTGGGCTGCGCTGCCGCAGGGCGTCGCAGCGCCGGACCGAGGCGGCCAATGGCGTGACCATCTGGCGCCAGGCAGCGGCCATGGTCCACGCGTGCCTCTCCGCGCAATCGCCGGAGCCACGCTTCCTCTTCGGCAGCGAGACGACGCCGGCCTGGGCGCGGGATTGAGGCTGGCGCAAAGGTTCATGTTACTGAGGAGGGGAGAGAGGGGGGGAACTTTACGACCCTCCCCCCTTTGATCGATGGCCTCGACGATGGCCCCGGGAGGCTCCCCAGAGCCCCCAAGAGGGCCCCAAGACTGGCCCATAACCCCTTACAAGAGCTCCACGAAGGCCCGCAGACACCCCAAAGAGGGCACCAAGAGGGCTCCGAAACAGCCCCGATGGGACGCCAAACAGGCGTCATGAAGATCCCAACATGGCTGCCAGCGTCCTTGTCCTCGTCCTCTTCGTCTTCCTCCTCCTCCCCCTCCTGCTTCTCTTTCTTTTCCTCCTCCTTCACTTTCTTGCTTTCGTTTTTGTTCATCGTTCCCATGTTCGTTCCCTTCCTCCTCCTCCTCCTCCTCCTCCTCCTCCTCCTCCTCCTTCTCCCCCTTCTTCCCCTCCTCCTCCTCCTTCTCCTCCTCCTCCCCCTCCTCCTTCTCCTCCTCCTCCTGCTCTTCCTCCTCCTCCTCCTCCTTTTCCTCTTCCTCCTCCTCCTCCTCCACCTCCTGCTTCTCCTCATACCTCCCCGGGGGGATGTTCTAGTACGTTTGTCTGCACTTCCATGGAGAGGGCAACGCGCTTATGTGTCCCGCGAGGGTTTCTTCCGCACGTGCCCCGCCAGTTCTCATCGGCAGCGTTTTGTTGGGTTGGCGGGATTCGGTTTTGGACCAACCGGGGGAAGCTCCAGGGGGTCCGATATTCATTTCCATCAGCATCTCTTGCCAACGTGCCACACTTCAGACGATGTGATTTCCCAGGGTTGCCTCTGCATCCTTCTGTCCTCGGCCCGTCCGTGGACAGTCTCGTGGGCCAGCCCCATTTGCGGAAGTAAGCCCGCGGCAGGTTCGCCGGCAGAAGTTGGACGGAAGGCGGCGCAATTAAAGGTTTGACGTCAACATATCTGTGTGGTTCAGGGCTGCAGGAATGAAGCACCCAGTTGAAATTACAGTGCCCGTCCGATTGCAGGACGTAGGTTGCCATGCAGCCGCTCGGCTACCTGGCCGCTCGCCTGCTGCTGAGCTGCTTCCAGGCTGCGGGCGTGCTTTGACCTTTTGTCGGAGGGCACCGCGTTTCTGTCATTCCTTGGTTGCAGCACCACTGGGACGGGCACCCAGTAATGAGTCTTTCGGCATCGTGCAGGAAGGTGGCGGATAAGTGGCAGGAGAGCGCCTTTGTCGCGCGGGGTGCCACAGGAAAGTGGCATGGACGCGCCACTGTTCTGCACCGATTAAAGTCCCCATCTGCTGAGCACCCATCAGGGCGGCGCTGGTGGGTTCAACGCAACAGAAATTGGGACACTGCATACCAGGCGTTGCAAGATACGGCGGGTGGAAGCGAAAGGCGGCAAACTTTCCAGTCCCTGGCTGCAGTTTCTCGGTCGTGCCAGCGTCCTGGTTTACCAAAGTCCCCGCTTACGGGGCATTAGTGATTGGAAGATGAGGCAGAGGAGGGAGAGAACGACAAGAAGTATGGCGGCGAGGATGAGATTCTGGGAGTTCCTTGTGGGTTCTAGGGGTCTCTTGGAGGTTCTGGGGCGGCCTCGAGGCGAGAAAGAAGAAGGAGGATGAGGAGGAGGACTTTGATGTCGGCGGGTCTCGTGGTGGAGGAGGGTCAAGTATTCTTATCACCAAGTTGGTGGGGGGGCGGGGCGAAGGCCGGAATACTCCGACTACAGAGACGTGGGCCGCTACATATTTTCGAATTCTTGGAACATGTTCTCAGCACATCGCAGCGCGATATCGCTCTTTTCTGATAATGGTCTTAGCCGAGCATGTGCAATCACGTGCACGTTTCAAGTGTTGGGCGAGCGCACGGGCGGGCAAAGTCAGAGCGAAAGGGCAAGTATTCTGGTCCCGCCATCATATTGGCACACGTGTCGACATGCGCCAAGCCAAGCGTGTCAGAATCACGTGCGCTGTCAGTGACCCAGAGATGTTTCGCATCCCTGTCTCCGTGTTGCTCCTTTTGGATATCCATTGTGCCTGCCGCTCGTTGCGCAACGCCCACCGCGTACTATGTGCACGTGGTCTTACAATGTTCACTCGTTACAGTCGAACGCACACCGCCAGCTGGGTCTAGTAAGTGGAAGAGCGCTGGGATAAACAAAGGATCGGGCGAGCATGCTTTGAGCGAGCACTGCTTGGAAACCTTCGAACACTGGGCGGCATCGCATTATAGCATGTGCAAGTGGGCAAATGACATCGGGTTTGCCTACGAACTTGCCGACTGCCTGGAACCATCCTGTGGTGTTAGGTCTTCGTCTTGCAGAGAGAGAGAGAGAGAGAGAGATAGTGTTTCGCGTCCCACCTCCTCCTCCCGCTCCACTTTCCCTCCTCCCATCCTTGCCTTTGCCTCTGCCCGCCCTCGACGTGACTATTGCGGCGCACCCCTCACACGCTTCGTGGCCCCATGGGGAGCCCCACCCAAGGCCCCAGTGTTGCTTGCCGCATGCGTCTCCCCACTAATTTTTGCACACCCCTCAAACGGTTCATGGCCCCATGCGGCGCTTTGTCACAGCCCCAGTGCCAGCAGCCGCTTGCATCTCCCCCCCATTACGGCACGCCCCTCACATTGTTGGACGGGGCGCCACCCTTCTGATGAATTATGTCCCACCTGGTCACAGGTGTAAATCGGTGAACCATGGGGTGCTATGCGATTCGCCCCCGGCAAGAGCCCAGTGTGGGGGAGGAAAGAGGGAGGACTCATCTCACGTGCCTGGAGACCCAAGGGTCGGTCAATTTGAGGAGCAAAGTTGTTTGATGTTTTGACGTTTGTATTATTTGGTCGGCTTCGCTGACGCTCTTCAACCTGCTGGTCGGCTTTGCGGAAACAACCTTGCGCACGTAATGTTCATCGCATAGTTTAGATGACCATCGGAGCCAGCTCCCTAAATTCACCCATCTTTGGACTGTGTATCCCGGTCTGTGGACGTCGTGATTTTTTCAGTATGGGTCCCTGGAGCTCTCGACCCCTTCACAGGAACAGGCTTTTATCTTGAGCCGCTTTCTGACCGGGGCCCGACACGGCCCTCCAAGCACCGCCAGCAATGGAAAGAGCAGCATCGCAGATTAGGACCCCGGGTTTACAAGTCGACTCTTCCCCTGGGGCGCGTCCTGACCAGGATTCCGAAGGGGAACCCGACCACGGCGACACGAAACTTCCTGGAGGCCCAGACACGGCGACCCCACGTCCAGAAATTATAGGTTATATTCAGCGTATATCCGTGGCCGTGGTCGAAAAACGTCTGAATCCAGCATATCGAGGTCCATTTGTTTCGATCCCTGTTCGATCCTGGGCTTCAAGTGGGCGAAGCCAGCTCAAGGTCCCTGTTATCGGGCTAAGCAGCTTAGCGGCACTTCGTCAGTCGTCCCCACGAGGAGTTCCCAGGAGTTGCCTCCTAGCAGGAACCTCGGTTCTCGAACCTCGATTGTCTGTGGATCCGCGACCCGCTGCCGAGCGCTCGGAGCGCAAGGCGTTCGAACGGCACGAGCGCGCGTTCGTCGGCAGTGAACCGCTGCTCCTGGCGGCCGGCGTCGGCCACTGCTGGGCCGTGGCGTACTCGCTGATCCTCTCACTGGCGATGCAGGCTCCGTTGGTCGGGGAAGGGCACATCTCACCAAACATTTCTGTCCCGCCAGCTCTGTCAAACGTGCTCGTGTTGCATAGTATTTAGTTTTCGTTCCACGTTAGATTACTTCCATCGACTTGTACTTGTACGTTCACCTTACTCTGGAATGTTAGACCTGTCATCGTACGTGGCATGAGGCGTCAAAGAGAAGAAGGCACGCCTCCAGCCCCGCTGTGCCCCACTCCCCCCTCTGGGGCTGGGCCAGAGATCTCTGACTCCTGATAGTGCGGGTGTCTCGCAGAAAGGGTACAAAGAGTTTAGCCACCCCCCACCTGCCCCCTCCCCTCCCTTTGTCAGGAGTAGGACGAGGCGGGGGTGGAGGGCGTGCCCCTTTGCTCACCTAGCGTCGCTGGGCACGCTCCAGCGCTGGATTGCCCTAAACTAATGTGTTTTGTCACTTGTTTTTGTGGCAGGTTCGAAACTCAAGGTTTCTGTTCGTTTTGAATCGCCTTTGGCACCTGAGAAGTCTGGGAGTATCCCCACCGAGGCTTCGCGCCTTGCTGGCGGGCGAGATTACATGGACAAGTTGCCTGACTGGGTCTTCAAGGCCCCTCCCTTCGCGGATGCCCAGTGTGCACTCAGAGATCACGACGCCATGCGCGCTCGGCACGAGAGGGTGATTGAAACACGCACCGTCCCTGATGTCGGCCGCGATATCATGTTTCTTTCGCGTTCGTTTTATGTTCTGCTGTCTCGAGGGCCCGCCATAATAAGTGACTCTCATGCTGGTGATTTCGCTATCTCAGGGAGCGGCCAGAACCGCGCATGATTTCCCCAATTAGTGCTTGCACTCGGGTTTCTTACTTCTCTCATGACTTGGCATGGCTGCCCCCTCGGCTGGCTTGTTGTCGCCGTTGCCGCCTGTCGCCGCCGTCCGTCGTCGCGGCCTCCTCGCTGCCGCTTCGGCCGGTTTGCTGTAGTCGTCGCCGCCCGTCGCCGCCGTCCGTCGCCGTTGCTTTTGGGCCTGGCTGTCGCCTCGGCCGGCCTGTTGTCGCCGTCGACGCTTCGTCGCCGCCAGTCGGTGCCGTGTCGCCGCCCGTCGCAGCCCCGTCGCCACCCATCGCTGCCGCCTCGCCACCGCATTTTGTTGCAATGTGATTGCGGGAGCCTCGTAGGCTTTCTTTTCTGAGCAAAGAATAGACCCGCCCCGAATTATCGGTACCCCTTGGGACAGTGCAATTTTCATTCGATTCCGCCCCATTGCCCATTTTAAATTTGAGTTTGTACCACCCCAGCCATGCCGTTATCACTTCCCCCTTTTCACCCCTGTCAAACAGTTCTATGGGCCCCGTTTATTCACAGTCCTACGTGTTCAGCAACCCCTTGCACAAAGTTTAACCACGTCGACACGCACGCGTCGTCATGCGCGCACGTCGGCACTTTTCAAGAACAACCAGGGGCGCCACAAGGAGTTAAAGGTCGAGTTGTCCGAACACATGTGTTATACTGGTTTGCAACATATGTCTTCCAAATTTCTGCGCGCGCTGTTGCGAATTTATATGGGACCAATCGTTTCTTCATCGACATGTTCATCCACTTCGACCGAGCGGGCCTCTCGCGCGCGCATGCCAGAATCATTCGAGCGCCTTTGCGCGCTTGCTGAGGTGGCGCGATCCCGGTCAAATGATACCATGCGGTCTTGCGCGTCGGCTGCGCGCGCATGTAAAAATTTGTCCATCACCTTCATCGTCGACGCGTGGACACCATCATTGTCATCGGCATGACCAGCATCGGCACCGCCTACGGATTTGCCGTCGTCATCGCCATTCGTTATCGTCTCCAGTCCCCACCATCGCTATTGACATCCTATTGCTTGCCGTTGTCGGCGTCGTCATGATACCGCGCCCGCCCGAGCCACCGTGTCGCACGAAGTGCCCGCTCGTCAGCGTGGCCTACAAGACGCGCTCGGGACTCCCCAGCGGTCACCGCCACCACGGCCGCGTCGGTCGCGCCAGACTAGCAGGCCGGTCTGCGCGCTAGCGCGCGGTCGTAGCGATGCGCCAGTCAACGCCAAGCACTCATCGCAATCGCCGCCGCATGGGTTTCGCAAACCATGTGGCGGGATGGCTGGGTGGGAGGGTTTCTGCGCGGGCAGTGGGGTTGACAACCCACTAGCGAGCACTAGTTCATTGCACGCCCGCCACTCGGTTGTCAATCCCGCGTTGCCTATCCATCCGCGAGGTTTCGCCAGTCTGTCAAGTGGGCGTTGGCGAATTTCGTGGCGCATGCCCGAAGGCCCGAAGCTCGCATTTTCGATTGCCTTGGGTTTGTTGTTGTCAAGTAGGTTGACTCCAGCAGTCAGGAAACCGCTCGGGCCAGGGTGCCCTGGGTTTCATCGTTTTCAGCCGAAGTGAAAGACACCCAACCCTGGACCAAGAAACCTCGGCGGATTTGGAAGTTTGGTTTCTTGCTGTGGGTTTCTTGTGGACCGGCCACCCATGAATCTTCGCGGCATCCTTGAGCCTCGGGATGGTGGCGGGGCTGTCTTTGGTTGGTTTTCGGGTCTTCGGAGATCTTGCGCCCGTTTTGGGGCGGTCCTTGGTCGTCTAGGTCTAGGAACTGTCCAGAGGCCGAGACGTGTTCCCGGAAGCGACGCTGGGGCTGGGGCAGGGGGGCTGAAGTTGCGTGCAACGGCAGGGAGTGAGGCGGGCCTAGAAAACTCGAGAAATCCCACGAGACAACGAACAACCATGCATTATGACATACCACTACCGCGTAAACGTGATTGCGGGTGTTCGCGTATGGAGCGAAAGTGAATACCATCTTGAACCAGATTCGGCCTTCTTGGTGGTATCCTCGGGGCCTCGCGGGCAACATATGACCGTCCTGGTGCATCGTTGGGCTCTTTTGTAGGTGACTTTGGGAGCCAAAGGTGGCCCACGATGGAGCCACAGTCGATTTTCAAAGTGGCTTGCAATAGCATGATCTTCAATGTGGTCTTGTTCTGGTAACTGGTTCGGAGGCGACCTCAGCCAGAACTGGACATGAGAAGGCGATGCTTTGAGCCCAAGGGGCAGTGCGCGAAGCTTGCCGGGCGGACTGACGGGCAAAGCGTTAGTTGACGTTCTCGTCCTGTCCTGGGCTGTTACACGCCCCTCAGCCCGACTGGCGGGCTGACTGCCAGATGGGAAGAAGTTTGACATATTTCGGTCTCGGCGAGATGCGGAGTGGCAGAAGCGTCGGAGATGTGGTCGGTCGTGGCATCTAAAAGCGAGAGATTGGAGAGGCATCGCCCCTTCCAGGAATGTTGCCCATTTCTGCCGCAGCCGTATGGTTTGCCATTCCCCCCTCCCGCCCCCGTCACCATCCTCTTTTCCTCCCCTTTCTCTTCCCCTCCTGAATCTTCTCTTCACTTCTCCTCGCCACCCAGAGTTCTGTTCGAGGCTTAGCTCTGGAGTGCAAAACGCACACGCGGAATCAGACTGCTGCGTTCACCCCCATTTGCAGCTCCTGCGCCTGATGCTAGAACATTGGAACAACTACCCGTATGGACGAGGAGTCTTTTTCTACATGGATCTCTTGTGGTTACCAACCGTCTCAGTCTCATGACTCGAGCTGAAATATTTCGATCGATTCACTTCCAGGAACGGGAATCAGCTGTTCGGTTCTTAGAGCCAGCGACACTTGCAAGTGCGCTGCGAGGTTCCCTGCGGTAGATTGGTTGACAGTTCACCGCAGTTTCCATCCAGTTTCTGTTATTCGTACGGGCTTCGCCCCCTGCCGCCGGCCCCCTCTCTATCTTGATGGGATATGTCAGAGTCGCGTCGGTGCGGCTCCGCGCTGTTATGGCGCATCTGGGAACATCATGCGGAGGCGGATAGGAATCATCAGCGCATCTTGAGACGTTGGCGTTATCCTAGTGGCTTTCTGCTCGTCCCCCTACCGTGCCTGGGTTGTGGGTCTGAGGTCTCTTGTATGTATTGTATATGCGGTGGGGTGTAGTGGGGAGCCTCTCGGGGGCCTCTTGAAGGCGGTTTGAACGCTTCTAGGGGGCATCTTAGGGCCTCGTGGGATATTGTTTGGGCCTCTTGGAGGCCTCTTGGGCGCGTCTTAGGGCTGCCTGGGGGCTTCTCAGAACGCCTCTTGGGCCATATTGGAGCCCTCTTGGGCCGTCTTTGGACACTCTTGGAGGCGTCTTGGGCTGTCTTGGGGCGGTTTTGTGAGCTTCTTGAGCCGTCTTGGAGCGTAGGAAAGCCAAACATGCGAGAAAGCCAGAATCCTCCAACAACTTTCGTGTCATCAGCGATTGTGGCCTCTTGTGGCTCTCTCGGGAGGCCGCTTGGAGCGCCTTTGGGGCCCTTTTGGGCCGTCTCGGAACCATCTTGCCTTGGCAATGCGAATACGGTATCATTTGCAAAGGCTGATGGCCTCGGGGACGCGGATATCTCATAATTTGCTAGGGTTTGTTGCTTCGGGGACGCAAGAATTGTGTACTCTGCTAGGGTTTATGGCCTCGGGGATGCGAATACTGTGTACTTGACGATGGATTACGGCTTCGGGGACGCGAAGACGGCGTGATGTATTGAGGTTTGTTGCTTCGGGGCTGCAAGATTTATGTAATTCACACGGGTTTGTGGCTTCGGGAACGCGAACATTGTAACTTCCAAAGGTTATGGCCTCGGGGGCGCGAGTATCATGTATTTTTACATGTCCCACGCCCCCCCCCTCGGAATTCAGGCAACGCGATTTGGGCGTGATAAATTATTTACGCTTCGCGTATCCCCACCAGCCCATCTCAAAACAGCAACTCTTGCGAAGCATGCCGACAGTCGTGTTTTTCAGGCGTGTTTCCGCCTGCCCCCGCATATCTCCCCTGTTCCTCCTTCCTCCCGCCTCCTTGTACATCCTCCTTGTGGTGGGAGCGGGAGAAGGACGAGGCGGAGGAGGAGGGAGAGAAAGCGCTCCTCGTGGTTTGAGTCGTTTGGGGTTTCTTGTCCTGGTGTGAGTCGTTCGGGCCCTTCTTCCTGGTGTGAATCGTTCGGGCTCTTCGTGATGTGAGTCGTTCGGGCTCTTCGTCCTGGTGTGAGTCGTTCGGGCTTCTCGTGGTGTGAGTTGTTCGGGCCCCTCGTCGTCGTGTGAGTCGTTCGGGCCCCTCCTCCTGGTGTGACTCGTTCGGGCTCCTCGTGGTGTGAGTCGTTCGGGGCCCTCGTCGTGGTGTGAGTCGTTTTGGGAGCCTCTTGGAGGCCTTTTGGGGCGTCTTCGGGGCCTCTTGGCGGCCCCAGGGGCTTCTAGGAGCGTCTTGGGTGCCTTGGGGGAGCCTCTTCGGGCCTCTTGGGAGCCTCTTGGAGGCCGTTTGGGGCGTCTTGGGGGCCTCTTGGCGGCTCCAGGGGCTTCCAGGAGCGTCTTGGGTGCCTCGGGGGAGCCTCTTGGGGCCTCTTGGGGGCCTCTTGGGGGCATCTTGGGGGCCTCTTGGAGGCCTCTTGGGGCCTCTTGGGACTCTCTGGGAGGGGTCTGGGAGGAATCGTGGGGCCATCTGTGGGGCGATCGATCACAGATGAGGCGAGCATTTTTTCTGCCTCCCCCCGTCGGGGCCAGAATCCTCGTGAGTGGTGTCGAATTTTAGCCCTCCCAGGAGTCGAAAAAGACCCCTCCAACGACCCGCGGGGCGCCCTCTCCAGGCCCAGGGGTAGGGGGTAGGGGGAGGGGTAAACCCCTCCCCGAAGGGGAAGAAGGGGGGTCGAGAACAGAGCGGGCTCTCTAAACCACTCACGCCCAAAGGGCTGGTGGGATTACCAGTTTGGGGTTCCCCCCACTCGTGCGGATTTTTACAGCATGCAATAGGAAGCATGAAGCAGGACTGTAATTTTGGACACTTGAAACTGCAACTGGTGCAGGGAGTATCTCGTCCTCACCCTACAGCCTGGTGGCCACACAAGGGGCCTGGCGGATTATGTGTGTTTGTGTCCCTTTTTTGTTTGGACGCATCTGTTGCTCGTTATGTTTTTGTTGGTTTGGGGGGACTTGATTTTTGTTTGTTTCTTATCCGTTTGTTTACCGTGTTTTGTTTCCATGTAGTTGTCTATTTGTGTTGTGGTTTTGCTGTCCGTTTTCGCACTGGCATTTGTTTAAGTATATTGTCTGTGCTCTGGGGGGTCTGTGCCTTTTCTAGTTATTTGGTGTTTGTTTCGTTTGTTGTCTGTTTCCTGGTTGTACACTTGTCTTTTCCTCTCTGCGTTGTTGTAGAATCTATCTACGTCTACAAAGCAAATTTGGTTGATCCCTTCTCCGGCGCCCACGGTTTTTCAATTACAATGCTCCCCCGTGACTCCCTACAACAACGGCTCTCGCCTGTGTGAATTGAGGGCGCGGGACGGCCTCAATTCATACAGGAATCGCGCCCTCGTGCGGATCGCAATTTATTGAGACGCCGCGCCTTCGACATTCAGGAATCACGCTCTCGCTATGGACTTCCTCAAGATCTATGTGTCGCGATCTATGTTGGATTGACGCTTCAAAGGCCCGCCCGTTAGGGTCCGCCCACCCGACACGCAAGCTTGGTTCTGCCGCTTGTATTCCTGCTTCTAACCCCCTCCTGCATGTTTCTCTCGTGTTCCATCTTTCTCCCTCCCCCTTGTCTCTTCCATCCTCCCTCCCTTCCCCTTTTTCAGGGGCTGCGCTAATTTCACGTGGAAGGTAAAGAAGATATACCCCCGACGGGGGTACGATCGAAGACGAAGAGGGCAAGCATCGAGAGTTTCGAATATGCATCTTGACCGATACGCGAGGATGTGAAAGCGAACGGTCTGACAAATATTGTTGTCGAGTCTCAGTATTAATTTACACCAGAGAAATTCCAATCAGTGGATTTGTTATTTGTTCGCAGGTACCATGATCGGCCTTCCTGCTGCCCTTGTCTAGATCGAATATACGTTGCAGTGCAGTCTGGTTATTGTATGTCCCTCTGCTTTTGTTTTGTTCTCTCTCTCTCTCTCTCTTCTATGATTCTCTCTCTCTTTCTCTCTCTCTCTCTCTCCCTCTCCCTCTCTCTCTCCCTTGGTGTTCCGTGGCGCGGGGGTGTCCCGTGGCGCCAAGGTGTCCCGTGCTATTCCATAGGCGATGCTGTATTGTGTTAGCGATAGGGAGGTCGATAGAGCGATCGCTAGTGATATCGATAGTGAGATTCACTGAGTGAGATCGCTAGTGGTATCGATCGTGCGATATATAGCTAGATCGATCGTGAGGGCGGCAGTGCGGTCAATTATCGGGACTCGCATGTGAGATCAAGAGTGAGATCGATAGTGAGATCGATATTGAGATCGATCGTGAGATCGATGGTGATATCGATCGTGAGATCAATCGTGAGATCGATTGCAAGATTGATTCAGTGACATGGACAGTGAGATCGATCGTGAGGTCGACTGTGAGATCGACAGGGGAACCAATGTAATATCGAGACAGAGATAGATAGAGAGAGAGAGGAAACAGCAATATATATATATGTATCGATTAATTGGCATGGGTAGTACGATCGATAGTACATTCACCGTGAGATCAGTCGTGGGATCGATCGTGTAATCGATCATGACATCGATCGTGAGATCGTTAATGCGATCGAATGGTGAGATCGATAGTGACATCGGTAGTGACATCGATAGTTGCATCGATAGTGAAACCGATAGTGGGAGCGATCGTGAAGTCGATCGTGTGTTCGATAGTGAGATCGATAGCGAGATCGACTGTGAGATCGATACGGAGATCAATACGTGTATCGATGATGAGATCGATTGAGTACATGGATGGTGAGATCGATAGTGAGCTTGATATTGAGATCGACTGAGTAAGATGGACGGTGAGCTCGATAACGAGATCGATGGTGAGATCGACCAGGAACTGGGGAACCCGGGAACCAGAAACTTCAACCCTGGGATTCCCGCCGCTCACCGAAATCGGTCCGGAACCAGCAACCGGGAACCGGGGAACCCGGAACCAGGAACCCGGGAATTTGGCCGCCCATCGAAGTCGGCCAGGAATTTTAGCCAAATCTTTCAACCTTTGGAGCCTGTCAGTGCAAACATTGATTTGGGGACCAGATATTGGAGAGGCCTGACGGCCGGTGCCGCCGACCCTGATCGAAAGGGCTAGGAGTGGGGGGAGGAAGCGGAGGATGAGGAGGAGGAGGAGGAAAAGGAGGAGGAGCAGGAGGAGGAGGAGTAGGATGAGGAGGAGGAGGAGGACAAGAAGGAGGAGGAGGAGGAAGAGGAGGAGGAGGAGGAGGAGGAAGTGCATCCCTTGTGTGCCCGCTCGAAGAAAGTGCGCTCCGGGAGTGTGATATTCTGACTTGGGACGTGCTCCCGGAAGAGGAAGAAGTGCATCTCGGGCGTGCCCGCTCGAGGAAAATGCGCCCTAGGGGGGTGGTATTTTGACTCGGGGCCCGCTCCCGGGACGCCTCTGCGGGAGGAGGAGGAGGAGCAGGAGGAGGAGGAGGAGGAGGAGGAGAAGGAGGAGAGGAGCAGGAGGAGGAGGAGGAGGAAAAGGAGGAGGAGGAGGACCAGGAGGAGGAGGAAGTGCATCCCGTGCGTGCCCGCTCGAGGAAAGTGCGCCCCGGCGGGCGTCGTATCTGCCCTGGGACCCCCCCCCCTCCCCCCCCCCCTGCGGGGAAGGGATCAAAGGGAAGGGGCTTCCCTTCGACTCCACTACGACGTCGTTTAATTTCGCTTTGGATAGCGCGCTTGAGGAGGAGAGCCCTGGGAGGGGGAGAACGGAGACGACGGAGACGACGAGTCAAACGGAGAAGCTCCTCACACACGCCGACAGGGTCGGCGGATTTTCTTTTACCCCCCAAATCCGCTTTGGCGCTCTCGCCTCAGCGCTCGCTGAACATCCACTGGGACAGCCCAAGCCGGCCTCCCAACAGCAAGGACAACAATGTCTTTAAGGCTGTTCGTTTTTATCGGCTCGCGGGCCACTCAACACGTATATCCCAAACCCTCGGTACCCGTCCTCTTCGTCTTCGATTGTATCCCCTTAGGGGTGTGTCTTTCTTACCTGCAACGTGCATTTCGTGCAGCCCTCAAGGCAGGGAAGGAGGGGACGGACGAAAGGAAGGGACAACGGGGGAGAGAGGTGGATGGAGCACGAGAGAGAGTAGCAGAAAGTGGGCTAGTTGCAGAAACTACGTGGCTGAACCGGACGAGCAGATCGGGCGGGTGGACCCCCAGGGGCAGGTCGGGAAGGCGGGCCCAGGCGGCCAGGTCGAAGTCCCGCGCGAGAGGCGAGAGCGCGATTTGGGACAACTTGTGAGGAAGTATCAGGCGGGAGACAGGGGGCCAACAATTCAGTTTGGTGACACCCACCTTTCCCTTGTGACAGCCCCAGGAGAAGCATTTTCATTGAAGCATGCACTGGTTCCTGGCCAGGTAGACGTGAGAGAGTAAGAATAGCAACAACAATAACCACAATCATTGTAATACGATTCGCTCTTATCTGAGCGCGTGCCATTCAACATTCAACGCGCATAATTATCCCAACCCGTCGATACCCGCCCTCTCTGTCTCCGACCCCTTTAGAGAGCATAACTTTGGTACCTGGAACGCGTATTTCATGCAGCACTCACGGCAGGGGAAAAGAGGACGGATGGAATCAAAAACTCAGTTGGAGGGAGGAGGATTGCGCACGAGAGAAAGAGAGAGGACCTCACGGCAGCGTGCTGCCCGCTGCACGGCCCCCGTGGTAACCAAGAAGGTCGTCAACACGGTGGTCACCAGAATTGTTGATTGCAAGGCCGCTGGCACGAGCTCATGGAGGAATTCGCGCCTCAAGAACATCGCCGCCATTGCCGGTGGCCTCACTGCTCTCATCGGCTGGGCCCAAGCGTGAGTTTCTGCTTCCGTGCCAGAGGTCATGGCGACGCCATGGCGCGCAGCCGTCGGCATTCCGTTGCGGAAGGGGCCTGTTTGTGACGACGTACGGCCCATCATCATCATCATCATCATCATCATCATCATCATCATCATCATCACCATCATCATCATCATCATTATCATCATCATCATCATCATCATCATCGTCATCATCATCATCATCATCATCATCCTCATCATCATCATCGGAGAAGCTTTGCTCTCCCTTCCGGCGGCGTGCTTGCAGGAGATCTTCCACAGCAAGACGGTCAAGCTCCTCTCGGACACCCAGTTCGGCATTGGAGTCAAAACGGTTCCCGACGATGCTTTCTGCGCCTTGGACTTGACCAGCGCCTTCGGAGAGATCTCACGGGCGGAGATCATGGAAGAGGTCCTCGCAAAATTCCCAGAGATGGCGCCCTTCAGGAACATCCTTTGGGGCACGGCTGGTACGCCTATTTACGTTTCCTCTGCATCATCTTCGTGGGGACGGTTTGCGATGCCAGATGGTTTGTTTCATCGTCGTATCACTGCTGTTCTGTGCGGGGTTTCGCCGTGCACTGCGGCGGTTTTCTTGCCAGCATTTGCTTTCAGAGTGCGCCTCCACGAACCGCCATGTACACGTACATGGACGACGTGCTCGCGGAGTTCGATCCGATTTTGGCCCACATATGGTTGCCTCTACTCACGGACGCCCTTGCTACGGCGAAGTTGCGCCTCAACCTCTCCACATCGAGGGTCTGGATACCTTCGGCTGGCCATGGCGTCCTGCACCCCGTCCTCCGGCGCATTGGCCTCGCCCAGGTCTTCGACAGTTTGGAGCTGATGGGCGGCGTTGTGGATGGGCAGCATGCGGCCTCCATCGGCTCCTCCCCGGTGCCTGCAGCATCCACGAAGCGGCAGAGGCAGGCCGAAGCGCTAGCCGCGGCGCTCCAGACCATGCCGCGCACGCCCTCGCGCAGCCCGTCCACCGCACCGTGTGGACCCTACTCGACAAGGTTCTGAACAAGGCCCTTGACTACGACGCCCGCGCTCTTCACCCGGAGTCCTTCTCCACCCCCGCGGAGCGATTAGACCGAATTTTTCTGGCCACGTCCTGTGGGATTGCGCGTACTGCCCGTTTGACGGCCCAGCAGGAGGGTTGCTTGAGGCTGTCGGCACGGCGTGGGGGCTGACGGCGTGGGGGTTGCGACCTCACGGGTGATGGTTCCAAGGGCTTGTTTGTCCATATTGCTGCCGCCTCTTAGTATGTACCTGCCGTCGCGCAGAGGCTCGTCGCTTTGGGGGTTCGATCAGAACACCATCGGGGGCGCAGTTGATTTAGTTGGCGTTGCGCTGGCCATTGTTTGTCCGCCCCAGAGCACCATTCCGTGCGCATCCGTCACGACGGGGAGGTCATCATGGGAGCCCCGCCCTCCTCGCGGTTGGCGCCAGCTGCGCTGTTGCGGGGGCAGGCCCGGAAGATTCGCATTCCGCTGTAAGACGCCTTGGACTCCTTTTCGGAACAGGCCTTTCGTAACAGCCTTTCCTCTTCGAAACGGGATCTGGCTCGCCTCTGGAGTTGTTCGTTGCCCGTGCCGGGCCGCTGGTTAACGGAGTTTCCTGCGTCGTGGTGGCCGGCGGTACTTGACGACAAGTTCACGATTGCTCTCAAGTTCAGGCTCGGTCTCCCGGTGCATCCGAATTGTCTGCAGTGCGCGGCCCGTGCACGTCGATCCCGCACAGTGTTTTGAACGGCGTCTTGGCGCAGGCTGGGCGCGATGCCGGCCACGCGGTCTTGTTCAAACAAGTTGTCCCAGAGTTCGGCTTCAAGAAGTCCCGCCAAGGTGGCAGCGAGGTCTGGGTTCAGGCCACGTTGGACGTCGAGCTGTTTGGCCATGCCATTGCGCCAGATCGACTATTGGACGGTACTGTCCGGCACCCCGCCGCGCAGCGCATCTTAAATGCTGCCCTCGCTGCTCCAGGCGCGGCGGCAGAGGATGGCGCGAAGTGCGAGGAAGAGCGCTATAACGCATCTGCTGGCAGATTTGTGCTGCCATGTGCCATCGCAACATCTGTGCTGCCATGTGCCATCGCAGCTTGTGGTCGCAGCGATGATCGGCTTGATGGTCTCCTGGACGAGCTGGCGGCCCTGGCAGCGCAGAGGCAGAGGGACCGCGACATTCTACCGACGCGTTGGCGGGCGAAGTGGCGCATTCTGATGAGCATCAGCGTCGCCATGTCCGTCGCCGGGGTGCTGGTGGACGCCGCCCCCAAGAGGTGATTTGACCCAGCCATCTTCGTTGCAGTTGTAACGTCTTCTGAAAGAGAGAGAGAGAGAGAGAGAGAGAAAAAAAAGAAAGAGAAAGAGACAGAGAGGGAGAGAGAGAGAGAGAGAGAGAGAAAAAGAGAAAGAGAGAGAGAGAGAGAGAGAGAGAAAGAGAAAGAAAGAGAGAGAGAGAGAGAGAGATAGAGAGACCGAGAGACAGAGAGAGAGAGAGAGTAGCAGGAGGGGAGCTACGTAGTTACAGAAACTACGCGGCAGAACCAGACGGGCAGATCAGGCGGGTCTGGAAGGCGGGCCCAGGCGGCCAGGTCGAGCAAACGGGTCGCTGAATCGTGCGTTTTGCACGAATCGCGAGTCTCGAGCGATAGCGCGACTCCCAAGGAAATCTTGATATGTGCCAGAGCGAGAGCGTGATCCTTGAGCGTCGAGGGCGTTGCGCCTGAATGCATTGCGAAGAAGGTTCATGCGAGAGCGTGGTTTCCGCGTCGATTGTGAGGGCGCCCCGCGCGAGAACGCGATTTGAAAGGGGCGTTTCATTTGAACAATGCAATGTGCTCTGGAGGGGGGGGCAACATTATGTATTATTCAGCAGTGCGGGGGCAACGAGAACACCAACAACGACAACCGCAACACCAACAACGACAACAAGACCAACCATGTTAAGACTGATCGCTCTTATCCGCTGGCACGTCACTCAGCGCGTATATCCCAAACCCTCGATGCCCGCCGTTTCGTCTTCGATCGTACCCCCTTGGGAGTAGATCGTCTTTACCTGCAACGTGTATATCGCGCAGCTCCAAGGCAGGAGGGGGTGAATAGAAGGAAGAGACACGGGAAAAAGGTGGTGGATGGAGCACGGGAGGGAGCAGCAAAGGGAGGTTCGGAGCAGAGAACAAATGGCATAACCAAACGGGCAAATCGGGCGGATAGGCTCGAGCTGGCGGCTGGCGGGTCGGGAAGGCGGGCCCAGGCGGCCAGGTCGAGCAAACGGGTTGCTGAAGCGCGCGCCCTGCGTGAATCGCGAAGAAATCTCGCGCGACGGTGCGATCTGCAACGGGGCCGCGAAGGGCGGCGATGGGGGCCGCGAGCGAACAGGGTTAAGAAGGATAGCGACGGAGCCACGAAGAACTACAACGGGGCCGCCAAGGGCAACGAGGAGGCCACGAAACGCTGCAGCGGGGCCACGAAGGGCAGCGATGGGGGCCCCGAAGGGCAGCGAGGGGGCCACATTGGGCTGCAACGGGGGCGCGAAGCGCAACGATAGGGCCACGAGGTGTTGCAACGATGCCACGAAGTGCACCGAAGGTGCCACGAAGGGCTGCACCGGGGCCGCGAAAAGGTAGCGAAGGGCCACATAGGGCTGCAACGGGGCCGCGAAAGGCAGCGATGGGGACCGCGAAAGGGTTGCACCGGGGCCACGAAGGGCAGCGAAATCCCGAAGCGTTAAAAGGCCGCGAGGGGGGTCTCAGGCGTGAGCGCGACCCCTGGGTGCCTGAGTGTCGGACGCGCGGCGATTGAGTAGACTGCGGGGCGTTCCAACGCAAGAGAACGATTCTTGAATACGTTGCAAGCAAGTTTTCAGCTAGAGGCCGTCTCCAGAGCGCCGAAAGACTTTTGTTTGTATAGATGTTCAGGAAATCGGAAGGGAGAGCGCGCTTCCTGAGTAAAGCACAAGAAGTCTCAGGCGAGAGCAGACTTCCTGGCTAAATTGTGAGGAGGTAGCCCGGGGGCCAGGGGCGCAATTTGACCTTTGTGGCTTTCCCTGGTTTGAAAAAATGGTGCGGGCCCCGGTGGAAGCATTTCAAGTGAAAAAACACAATGGTCACCAAATGGTGGATCAGCATTATTTCTTTCAGTCGTGCAAATTAAACAACAATAGCAACAGCCATCATTGTAAGACTGCTCGTTCTTGTGGGTTCGCGGGCCACAACATGCGCATCCCGAACCCTCGATGCCCACCCGCCCTCGTCGTCTTGGATCGTACCTCCTTTGGGGTAGATTTTTCTTACCTGCAGCGTATTTTTCGCGCAGCCCCGGAGGCAAAGGAAGAGAGGGTGGATGAAAGGAAGGGGCCAAGGGGAACGAGGCGGATGGAGCACGAAAGAGAGTAGAAGGAGGGGGGTTAGGAACAGAAAACACGTGCCATAACCAGGCAGTCAGATCGGGCGGGTAGACCCTACCAGGCGGGTCAGGAAGGAGGGCCCAGGCGGCCAGGTCGAGCACGTGGGCTGCTGAAGCGCATGTCCTGCACGAGTCGCGAAACAAAAAATCAAAACTCTCCCGAGCAATATCGCGATTCCCAAATACATCGTGGCGAAATCCACAGCGCCAGCGTGATTCCTGCAGCCATTGCGAGAGGCCCCCGCGCCATAACGCGATTTTGGAATACGCTGTGAGGAAGGATCAGGAGGTGGGAACCAAATCTTGAGGCCACGACAGCGATATGCATATGGGGCCACAATGGGCGACAGCGGGGCCACGAAGGGCATGCATATGGGGCCACGACGGGCGAGAGCGAGCGGGGGCCACGAATGGCATATAATGCGGGGCCACTAATGGCAGCGACGGGGCCACAAAGGGCGACAACGGGGCCAAGAATGGCAGCGAGACGGCCACAAAGAGCGACAGCGGGGCCACGACGCGCACGCGCATATGGTGCCACAAAGGGCGATTGCGGGGCCACGAAGGGCATGCACACGGGGCCACGACGGGCGCGAGCGAGCGGGGGCCACGAAGGGCATGCGCATATGGGGCCACAAAGGGCGACAACGGGGCTACTGAGGGCAGCAAGGGCACCGAGAAGGGC